GATGCATCGGCCAGTCTGGCCGGCATGCGCACTTATAGTGCAAGTGGGGCCAGGGAGAACGGAAACGCTCAAATCTCACAAAGTACAGGGAATCTAGCGGTCTCACTCGATCAGAAGGTGGGAAATATATTAATCTAGTGAACTAACAATGTTTGAAAGGTATCTAATGCGCATGTTTAGAGAAAATGGTGCATTGGCCAGGCAGGTCGGTATGGGAACTTAGAGTGCAAGTGCCAGGGAGAACGGAAGCGCTCAGATCTCGCAAAGTACAGGGAATCTAGCGGTCTCACTCAAACAAAAGGTAGGAAAAATATTGATCTAGTGAATTAGAAGGGTTTGAAAGGTATCTTACGCACATGTATAGAGAGAATGGTGCATCGGCCAGTCTGGCCGGCAAGCGCACTTATAGTGCAAGTGGGGCCAGGGAGAACGGAAACGCTCAAATCTCACAAAGTACAGGGAATCTAGCGGTCTCACTAGATCAAAAGGTGGGAAATATATTAATCTAGTGAACTAACAAGGTTTGAAAGGTATCTAATGCACATGTATAGAGAAATTGGTGCATTGTCCAGACAGGTCGGTATGGGAACTTAGAGTGCAAGTGCCAGGGAGAACGGAAGCGCTCAGATCTCGCAAAGTACAGGAAATCCAGCGGTCTCATCCGATTAGAAGGTAGGAAATATATTAATCTAGTGAACTAATAAGGTTTGAAAGGCATTTAACGCACATGTATAGAGAAAATGGTGCATTGGCTAGGCAGGTCAGTATGGGAATTTAATGTGCAAGCGTCAGGGAGAATGGAAGCGCTCAGATCTCGCAAAGTACAGGGAATCTAGCGGTCTCACTCAGAAATGAGGTAGGAAATATATTAATTTATTGAACTAGAAGGGTTTCAAAGGTATCTAACGCACATGTTTAGAGAAAATGGTGCATCGGCCATTCTGGCCGGCATGCGCACTTATAGTGCAAGTGGGGCCAGGGAGAACGGAAACGCTCAAATCTCACAAAGTACAGGGAATCTAGCAGTCTCACTCGATCAGAAGGTGGGACATATATTAATATAGTGAACTAAAAAGGTTTGAAAGTTATCTAACGCACATGTATAGAGAAAATGGTGCATTGGCCAGGCATGTCGGTATGGGAACTTGGAGTGCAAGTGCCAAGGAGAACGGAAATGCTCATATCTCACAAATTCGGGGAATCTAGCGGTCTCACACGATCGGAAGGTAGGAAATTTATTTATCTAGTAAACTAGAAGGGTTTGAGAGGTATCTAACGCACGTGTATAGAGAAAATGGTGCATCGGTCAGTCTGGCCGGCATGCGCACTTATAGTGCAAGTGGGGCCAGGGAGAACGGAAACGCTCAAATCCCACAAAGTACAGGGAATCTAGCGGTCTCACACTATCACAAGGTGGGAAATATAAGAATCTAGTGAACTAACAAGGTTTGAAAGGTATCTAACGCACATGTATAGAGAAAATGGTGCATTGGCCAAGCAGGTCGGTATATGAACTTAGAGTGCAAGTGCCAAGGAGAACGAAAACGCTGAGATCTTGCAAAGTACAGGGAATCTAGGGTTTAGGGTGTGGGTTTGTTAGCGTTTGGGGGGGGGGGGGGGGGGGGGGGGGGGATGGCCCGAAACGCGTAAGAGGGGTCCGGTCTCGGAGGTATGCATTCCACGTATGTGCGCGTTTCGAGCTGTAATCGTGGCTGTAGGTGCGGAGGGGTATAGAGAGCACGAGCATTTGAAAAAAACCCCGGCATTTTGCAATTTTCTTCACACGTGTGGGTTTGTTAGCGTTCGTTTGTTGGAAATTGCCCGAAACGCCTAGGAGGGGCCCGGTCTCGGAGGTATGCATTCCACGTTTGTGCGCCTTTCGAGCGGATATCGTGGCTGAAGGTGCGGAGGGGTATGGAGAGCACGAGCGTGTGAAACAATCCCCGGCTGCTTTGAAAATCTCCACACCCGTGTGGGTTTGTTAGCGTTTGGGGGGGGGGAATATCCCGAAGCGCCTAGGTGGGGCCCGGTCTCGGAAGTATGCATTCCACGTTTGTGCACATTTCGAGTTGAAATCATGGCTGAAGGAGCAGGGGGGTATGGAGAGCACGAGCGAGTCAAAAACTCCCAGGCCGCTTTGCAATTTTCTACACCCATGTGGGTTTGTTAGCGTTTGGGGGGGGGAATAGCCCGAAACGACTAGGAGGGGCCCGGTCTCGGAGGTGTGCCTTCTACGTTTGTGCGCGTTTCGAGCTGAAATCGTGCCTGAAGGTGCGGAGGGGTATGGAGAGCACGAGCGTGTGAAACAATTCCCGGCAGCTTTGCAATTTTCTACAGACGTGTGCGCCTCAGTTCATTCCAGTCTCATATCACCCCGTGTGCTTCAGTTCAATCCACTCTCATATCACCGTGTGTGCTTCGGTTCAGTCCACTCTCATATCACCGTGTGTGCTTCAGTTCAGTCCACTCTCATATCACCGCGTGTGCTTCAGTTCAGTCCACTCTCATATCACCGCATGTGCTTCAGCTCAGTCCACTCTCATATCTCCGCGTGTGCTTCAGTTCAGTCCACTCTCATATCACCGCGTGTTCTTCAATTCAGTCCACTCTCATATGACCGCGTGTGCTTCAGTTCAGTCCACTCTCATATGACCGCGTGTGCTTCAGTTCAGTCCACTCTCATATCACCGCGCGTGATTCAGTTCAGTCCACTCTCATATCACCACGTGTGCTTCGGTTCAGTCCACTCTCATATCACCGCGTTCAGTCCACTCTCATATCACCGCGTGTGCTTCGGTTCAGTCCACTCTCATATCTCCGCGTGTGCGTCGGTTCAGTCCACTCTCATATCACCGCTTGTGCTTCAGTTCGTTCCACTCTCATATCACCGCGTCTGCTTCAGTTCAGTCCACTCTCATATCATCGCGTGTGCTTCAGTTCAGTCCACTCTCATATCACCGCGTCTGCTTCAGTTCAGTCCACTCTCATATCACCGCGTGTGCTTTGGTTCAGTCCTCTCTCATATCACCGCGTTCAGTCCACTCTCATATCACCGCGTGTGCTTCGGTTCAGTCCACTCTCATATCACCGCGTGTGCTTCGGTTCAGTCCACTCTCATATCACCGCGTGCACTACGCCTTCACCCTCGTCAAGAGTGAGTGAGGTGCAGCATGGGAGCAGGCTGGGGGGGGGGAATGAATCCCGCACACACAGGCAGGAAGTCGTGCCACTGTGTTCCAACCCATAAGCTCGCTTTCTCCCTGCACTCTCCCTTCCAACCCCCTCTCTCCCGTGCAATGCCTGCATGCTCACCCTTCCTCTGTGTATGTGTGTGCCTCGTGCCTCGTGCCTCCTTGCCCTGTGCGCGCCTCTGCACTGCCCGCCCATCCACCGCATACGGCATCTTTGACACTATGATGGAGGTCAGTGGGTGCTGGGGGGGAGTTTGGTGAGGGGTGGTAGGGTGGTGGGGGGTGGTGTGGGGTGGTGGTGGGGAGGGTGCTTGGTGAGGGGTGGTGGTGGGGAGGGTGCTTGGTGAGGGGTGGTAGTTGCGGAGATAACTAGAACAACGGGAGCTTGACTACGGGCAAGGCACGGTTGTGAGGGTGATCTCTGCGTTCCTTAGTCGTTTGCTTGTGTGTTCACTGCTTGCACATTCACGGGGAGATTTTGCAAGAGTTCCACTAGCAAAGATTGACAACAAAGGTTCAGAATGATAGCAACAACATTGGTAAGAGAGACTACATCAGAGCTAGCAAGCATGCAGGTCGACCTCCAGTGCAGCACGGTCGACCGCGTTCCAGCGCTGCACTGCTCGCACCCCTCCAGCGCCGCAGAGAAGCGGCGCGCCAACGTTGCAAGTCCACGGCGTGCCAACGCTGCAGCAAGGCGGCTGCACAGCGTTGCACTCGCTTTTCAGCGTTGCACCTGCTTTGCAGGTGCGCACGGCTGGTTGGCGTGCCAAGCCCCGTCACGTACACAGCGCAGACGCCACGCCAGCGACTGCGCCCACCAGCCACGTCGACCTCGGGATACCACCTCCGAGGTCGGCCTCGCAGAAAACACCCCCGGCGACCATCGCACACGTCGCCCAGGTAACTTGGTCGACCAGGCAACTACGCCCGGTCGACCCGGCTCGTCGGTCGCCGGCTACGCAAGGCCGGCGTACCCCAAAGTCGGCGCCTCCCAGGCCGGCCTCGCCAGGCCGACCTCCTAAACCCGGCGCCCTCCAGCTTGGCGCCCAACAGCTCGGCTCCCTGCTGCTCGGAGTCCTGACTGCTCGGCGCCGGCGCCTAGCAGGGCGCCCTTTCCAGGGTCGACGTCGGTGCCTACCAAAGTCGGCGCCCCACCCCTCGTCGACCACCAGGTCAAGTCGGCCGTCGGCTCCCAGTCGTCGGCGGCGTTGCAGTGGCTTGGTGCCTAAGTCGGCGTCGCCCACTGCAGCTGGCCGGCTGCGCTCCCCGCACACCCGACTACGAGGTCGGCTCCGCCCAAGCGAGGACGGGGCCAACACACAACTCCCGTTGACAGTGGTGGGGAGGGTTCTTGGTGAGGGGTGGTGGTGGGGAGGGTTCTTGGTGAGGTGTGGTGGTGGGGAGGGTGCTTGGTGAGGGGTGGTGGTAGGGAGGGTGCTTGGTGAGGGGTGTGGGGGGTGGTGTTTGGGGAGGGGTGGTGGGGGGTGGTGTTTGGTAAGGATATAAAGGGTGGGAAGGAGGGGTCAGGGATGTGTGGGAGGGTTCCAGGATGAGCGTGGTGTGGTGTGGTTTGGCAGGGGGTGGTTTGGTGTGGTTCAATTGTTCGTGTGCTGTCATGGACGCATGTCAAATGCCAGCCTGTCAGCCTCCCTGGGGATGCCTCATCTCACCGTCACCCCATTCCTGCCACCACGCCTCCCCTCCCCATGCGTCCTGCCCTCCTCACACCTTCTGCCCCTGCATTGACTGCAGGTGCACATAGCCAGCAGCGGCCCCGTCACTCTCTTCCTTGACTCGCGCAAGCAGTCAGGCACGGACGGCGATGCTTGCAATGGGGGCGATGCGGGCAAGGAGGGGCAGTGAGGTGATGCGCACGGCTGGGGGTGAAGGGGCAAAGAGGGCCCTGAGGTGAGGGTGATTCACTCCAGGCCTTGGCACACTACACTGCGGAGCTCCAACACAGGCACACTACGGCATGGCATGGTGAGGCGCGTGGGTGCTGTGGACACTCCCCAGGCTGGCACCATGGCATGGCGTGGTGAGGGGCTGTCCTGTGGAGCGTGGGTTGCTCCTTCCTTCCCTTCCACTGCAGCCAAGGGCTTTCCAAGGAGCGTAGAAGACTGGCAGTGTGCCCTATATTAACAGTTTTAGCTCGTAGCCATGTGTTAAGACACCTAGGGCGATTTGATAAATGCTGTGCTGACACTCGCATATGGTTTTAGTAGGGAACTGCTAGGGTAAGCAACAATCTTGCATGTGACAAACAGCGCTAGGATAGGAAGGATTGCATTAGCAACATTCTAGTACCATGACACTGTTGCCCTTTTGTGCAGAATGTAACGAGAAAATGCCTTATTGTTCTTTCCTATTGTTGTGAAGACCCTCAGCCAGCGTGTGGTGCACTGCACAGCACGAGCGTGATAGCAACAGCATGCGACCACACTCTAACTCTGCTAACCCCCTCCCTCACCACCTCATCTGCGCCTACCCACGGGACATGAGTCGTCTCAGAGTGCCCAGCCCCAACCCCTCTTGCTTCCCCCACTCCCCACCTCTCCCTGTTGCACGCCCCTCCCCCACCCCTCCCCCTGCGCCTCCCACCCTTCGCGCCTCTCCCCCGGCCCCGCTGGCCCCCACACGCTCCTTGCTCGGCCCACCCCACCACCACCATTGTTGCTGCCACCATCATAACTGCCGCCGTGAGCGTGACCACCACTGCCCCTGGTAGCAGAATCGTCAGCAGCAGTGGGCGTCAGGGGTGCCACTCTGGTGGATCGGCGGGAGTCACTGAGCGACCGTGGGATACCCATGCCCATGCCCACGCCAGCTCCTTTCCCAGCCAACCCCGCGCCCACCTTGGCCCTGCCCCTGCTGCCACTACCACTGCGCCACAGCATGCCCATCAACCCCTTCTGCTGCTGCTGCTGCTGCTGCTGCTTCCCCTCCCCCTCACTGTCCCCTCCTTCCCCTGTGATGCACGGTCCGCTTTGAACGGCTCCTCTGCAGCGAATGGTGACACGGCAGGCGCCCCCTCCCCTGCCCACTCTCGATCTGGCATGTGCGACCATCTACCCTTTCCCTCGCCCTGCTCCCCCCCTCGCTCCTTCTCCTCCCTCTCCACACTCTGCCCACTCCTCCTTTCCCCTGCTTCCGTTGCCTCCCTGTCATTCCCCTTTCCATCCTCTTGTGGCCCCTCAGCACCGCTCTCAACCCACCCATTGTCCAGCACCCATGCCACTTTCCACACCACCCCTGCCACTACCCGCTCTGGGCTCCCTCTCTCACTTTTCGTCGTGCCAGTGATTCAACCATGGCTTTCAAGGCTGTCCTTCAAGTATGGGCATGTTCGCAGCTTCCTCAAACTCCTGGGGGTTGATGAACTTGTGATACACTGGCAGCTTGTGCCCGGAAAGGACGTGTCCATATTCGGACGCTCTGCCAGCCTCACGCACCTCATCGTAAAGGCCGACGTCATCTCTGTCATCTGCAGACAGTCTCGCCACTTCGCTTCCTTTGTCAGGCTCAATCCTAACCTTCAACTTCCCCTTCGACTTTGCACACCCGTACACCCCATTAAGGATTCGCCCTACTCGCCGTTGCACGCCTGGAACCAATTCCTTACGATCGTGGCGAGCATTCGCCCCTGTGTGAGGCGAGAAGTACGCCTCCCACACCCGCCCATGTTTATCTGTAAATGCACGAATGATAACTTCTCTCACGGCCCCTTCCCTTCCTCCCCCTCCTGCCCCTCCCTCTTCTCCTCTTTCTATCCTTCCTTCCCCTCCATCCGCTTCTCCCTCTGCACCTCCTGCCACTCCACCCCCTCCCACTCCTCCTCCCCCTCCTCCCCCTCCCCCTCCTCCCCCTCCTCCTCCCCCTACTCCTGCCCCTTCATCGCCATACTCTGTCTCTCCCTCTTGACCTCCCCATCTTTCCCCCCCTTCCCTTTCTTCTCCCCCTGCCCATGCTCCTGCCCCCCCTTCCCTTTCTTCTACCCCTGCCCCTGCCCCTGCCCCTGCCCCTGCGTCAGCTTCGTTGAGAGGAGTGGAGAGAGAAGACTGCAGCTGGGCTAGCATGAGCGACTCCAGATACGACAAGGATGTCTTCCAGTCATCATCACTGCGCATATTGGTGACAGCGGAAACAGAGCGGAGAGATGGGATGATGAGGAAAGTTGGCATGATGAGACTCCTTTGGAAATATCCACTATACATTATTCAGGTACCTGAGAAGTTGGGCAAACCACTCCGGAGCGTTGAAAAGGGCCGTGCGTTCCAAGGAGTTAATATTCTCTCCCCGCAGCATAGTGTAAAGGCTCCCCATTGCCCACAGGAGAAGCCTACACAGCTGCAAAGGCTTATGGGAAGGTTCCAGGCCAAGACGAAGCTGAATCGGCCTCGGATAAATCCTTCTAACCCTACTCAGTTGGAAACTGATATCGAGTCAGCAGCTTCGAACGCAGGACCTAGGGATGATCTATTCGACGTACCCTACGATCCTATAAGCGAGACCATCTACGGTTACTCGGAGCAGCAACAACCACTACTACTCGAGGTGATCTGCAATGGGCGACGCCTCCAGGCACTGGTGGACAGCGGTGCGTCTCACTCGGTGTGCGATCGCGGGACGTTGGAGAAAATTGGAGAATCTTCAGAGGAGACCAAGTTCACGGCAACGATGGTGGACGGTACGAAACTTCCCATCCACGGCGAAGCATCACTGCAGCTGCACATAGGGGCGCTGAGGTGGAAGCCGACGTTGCCAATCACGAACATCAAGGGTTTAGATTTCATCTTGGGGCGAGATTTCCTGAAGCGGTTCAACCCCGAGTTTGACTGGGTCAACAGGAAGGTGCGCATCTACAACAACGGGAAACGAGTGGAGCTGCGAAGCTGGACGGATACAGGGAGCGTTCCTGAAACGACACTGGCACGGTTCGAACGGACGGTGAACGAGAGCAACACGGGTTACTTAGCACTGGTTATGGCAGCAGCAGAGGAGGAGAAGCAGAGTACGGAGCTACCTGCAGCAGTGAAGGAGGTTTTGTAGCAGTACAAGGATATAATGCTCGACGACCTACCTGCAGGCGTACCTCCAGCACGCACCCACGAGCACGAGATCGTGGAGGAACCAGGTGCGAAACCCGTCTCACGTGCACCATACCGACTGAGTCCGACCGAACTGACAGATATGAAGAAACAAATAGAGTATCTACTGGACAGACAACTGATCCGCCCATCCACCTCTCCCTACGGTGCACCAGTCCTCTTCACTCCAAAGCCAGACGGCAGTTTACGGATGTGCATCGACTACCGCGCACTGAACAAACAGACAGTAAAAAACAAATACCCCATACCGCGCATAGACGACCTACTGGACCAACTGCGTGGTGCAACAGTCTTTTCGAAGCTGGACCTACGGTCGGGTTACTGGCAGATCAAGATGGCGGACAACTCAATCCACAAGACGGCGTTCCGTACGAGATACGGCTCCTACGAATACTTGGTGATGCCGTTCGGACTCTGCAACGCACCAGCAACGTTCCAGGCGGAGATGAATCACATCTTACGGCCCCTGTTGGACGAATGCGTGGTGGTGTACCTGGACGATATCCTCATCTACTCTAAGAACATGAAGGAGCACGTGGAGCATCTACGGAAGGTGTTCGAGATCCTGCGGAAGAACAAGTTTTACGTGAAGCTGTCGAAGAGCGACTTCGCCCTGAAGAAGGTGCAGTTTCTCGGGCACATGGTGAGTGCCGAGGGCGTACACGTGGACCCGCGGAAGATTGAAGCCGTCAAGAAGTGGAAAGTAGCAGAGAACGTGAAGGAGTTGCAGCAGTTCCTAGGCTTCGCCAACTACTACAACAGGTTCGTGCCACAGTACGCTAAGATAGCAGCGCCACTGACCGACCTACTGAAAAAGGATACACCCTACAAATGGGATACTCCTCACCAGCAAGCCATGGAGCAGCTACAGACAGCACTGACCACAGCCCCAGTACTCATCCTACCGGATCCAGACAAGGACTACGTGGTGGAAGCAGACGCTAGTGACCAAGCAGTCGGAGCAGTACTGATGCAGGATCACGGACGCGGTTTGCAGCCCATCGCCTACCTCAGTAAGAAGCTACACGGAGCAGAACTGAACTACCCCATCCACGACAAGGAAGCCTTAGCTATAGTCGTAGCCTTCAAGGCGTTGAGGTGTTACCTAAAGGGAGCCAAGACTACAGTCTACACTGACCACTGCAGTCTCAAGTACCTGAAGTCGCAGCCTACGCTCTCACAACGACAGGTGCGGTGGGTGGACTTCTTGGAGACCCACTTCCACTACGACATCGTCTACAAGCCCGGGCTACACAACAAGGCAGACGCGTTGAGCCGCCCCAGACATGTAGCAGGCATCCAGCTCGACGGGATGAACCCTCTGCTCAAGGGTCTATTCCAACATGGGTACTCCGTGGACGCAGAGATCGCTACAGCACAGACTAAGAAGTTGTTACAGTAGGAGAAAGACTTAGCTGTAAGGAAGGGTTCAGGAAAGATTTGGGTACCGAATTACGCCCCGCTACGGCAGATCCTATTGGAGGAGTTTCACGACGTACCTTACGCGGGACATTTCGGGAGCAACAAAACGTTAGCAGGGATAGCAAAGTATTATTACTGGCCCGGGATGGCAGCAGACGTGTAGCGGTTTGTCACCTCGTGCGACACGTGCCAGCGGATGAAGAGCAGCAAGCAGAAAAAATCAGGGTTACTTCAGCCTCTACCCGTACCGGAGCAGCCATGGCAGGTCGTTAGCCTCGACTTCATCACAGGACTTCCTTCGACCTCACGGGGACATGATTCCATCCTCGTAGTGATCGATAAGTTCTCCAAAATGGGTCACTTCATACCGACCAACGCCACAGGTACAGCTGAAGCAACTGCTCGCCTCTTCTTCGATCGCATCATCACCATCCACGGCATCCCCGCTACACTCATCTCAGACAGAGACCCCAAATTCACGAGTAAGTTCTGGAAGGAGCTCATGGGACTGTTGGGGACAAAGCTTGCAATGTCTTCAGCATACCACCCACAGACTGACGGACAGACAGAGCGACTCAATCAAGTGGTTGAACAGTTACTGCGCACAGCTTGCAAAGACGACGTCAGCCACTGGGACACACAGTTACCGACCCTAGAGTTCGCTTACAACAACGCGTCACATGCGGCCACAGGGGAAACTCCTTTCTTCCTGTGTTACGACCGGCACACGTCCAAGCCGCACATGACTTCGTCACCACCATGCAGCAGCTATGGGAGAAGACTCAGCGACGCCTCACCACGATGCAGACCTCCCAGAAGCAGTATGCCGATCGTCAGCGACGAGATCACTCAGTAGCAGTCGGAGATCAGGTGCTTCTTGACACGCGCAACTTGAACCTGTCTCACCTTCCATCCAAACTCCGGCCTCGCTTCTGTGGTCCTTTTCTCGTTGAGGCACAGGTGACACCAGTTACATTCCGCTTGCGCTTACCTACTACGTGGAAGCTTCACAATGCTTTCCATGTTCAGCTACTGAAGCCCTACAAGGGCCCCAACCAACAGTTCCAGGGACGGCAGCTACCGCCACCACCACCTGTTCTCATACAGGATGAACCGGAGTACGCGATCGAGCGCGTTCTCACTCATCGGCGCCGCGGCGGCAAGACCCTCGAGTTCCTGATCCGCTGGAAGGGATACGACCCCACTGAGGACAATTGGGTTGCAGAAGCTGATATGGGCAACGCACGTCGTGCTCTCAAGGACTATCTTGTCAAGCAGGGTGTTTCTCACGCCACCCAGCTTTGAGGGGGGGACGTGTGAGAGTACGACGGCTTATGCTGGCTTTGCTAGCTTGCCTAGCCTTTATTACGCTATATCTAGCTTGGGTTTTGTTCATCATGCATAGATATGCTTGATTTCCTAGGTTAGGTGCATTCCTATATTTTATTATAGTTATAGCACCGAACCAGGTTGCGTGTACCGAACTCAAGCCTATTCGGTTTCCACCGAATTGCTTTCTACTGAGTTCGGGAAGGTTCTGTTCCGGACGCTTCACGCCCCTCAGAACATTCGCGTAACACCTGGGTAACTGGCCTTGTGTCGAGCCTATATATAGCCTCGTGTTGTACCCAGGTGAATCATTCAATTACAATTCTCTTTTCTGAGCTCGATCCTAGATCCTCACACTGGCATTTGCACTCTAAGTTCCCATACTGACCGGCCTGGCCAATGCACCATTTTCCCTATACATGTGCGTTATATACCTTTCGAACCTTATTAGTTCACTAGATTTATATATTTCCCACCTTTTGATCGAGTGAGACCGCTAGATTCCCTTTACTTTGTGAGAAATGAGCGCTTCCGTTCTCCCTGGCCCCACTTGCACTATAAGTGCGAAATGCCGGCCAGACTGGCCGATGCACCATTTTCTCTATACATGTGCGTTAGTTACCTTTCAAATCCTTACGTTCACTAGATTAATAAATTTTACTACCTTCTATTTGAGGGAGACCACTAGATTCCGTGTACGTTGCGAGATCTGAGCGCTTCCGTTCTCCCTGGCACTCTAAGTTCTCATACTGGCCGGCCTGGCCAATGCACCATTTTCCCTATACATGTGCGTTAGATACCTTTCGAATCTTATTAGTTCATTAGATTTATATATTTCTCACCTTTTGATCGAGTGAGACCGCTAGATTCCCTTTACTTTGTGAGAAATGAGCGTTTCTGTTCTCCTTGGCCCCACTTGCACTATAAGTGCGCATGCCGGCCAGACTGGCCGATGCACCATTTTCTCTACACATGTGTCAGATATATATGACTTAGCCTTTGTAGGCTATAGTGGAGTAGACACTAAGGGGTACAGGATTCTAGGGTTTCACATTTGTACCCAACAGTTTCTAGTTCAATTCATTCCTCCTTCTTCACATGGTATAGAGCGGGTTCCCTAGCAGGACCGTTTCTTCCTAGGGCCCACCATATATATTTTTTTTTCCTAAACTGCCCGAAGCGCGCTTCGCGCTTTGCCCTGCCCTACCCTTTCGCGGCCCCTTAGCGGCCCGCCCTGCACCTGACGGCCCCTTCGCGGCCCCTTAGCGACCCCGTCGCGGCCCCTTCACGGCCCCTTCGCGGCCCCTTCGCGGCCCCCTTAG